GGGGCGGGGGCGGGGCGGACCGGGACGCTGCTCAGCTCCCCGCAGCAGGAACTCGGTCTTTCTCAGGAGGAGCATAGCAGAGAAAGTCACGATTAACCCGCGTGTAGCTGTTTCGGTGGCATGATCCGTAGTGCAGCCATCACCATCCGTTCGCAGAACTAAACTTCATCCCTACTAGAAACTGTCCCGTTGGACGCTAGCTTCCGGCTCCCCTTGCACATTCTGCTTTTGGCATTAGAGTGGCTGGGGGTTCAGAGAACACGGAAACTCACAGGTGGGGCGCGCCGCTCGGTTCTTTCCCGAGCGTCCGTGTTCTCCGTGTTCTGTGGGTCATTCGGTTGGCATTGCTGTGCAAGAAAGCTTTGGGGCGCTTTACCACTTCCAACTTGAATTAGAGATGGGAGTCTCACGGACTCTCCTGCCTGGGCTGGCTTTGAACCACGACCCTCAGATCTCAGCCTCCCGAGTAGCTGGGAGGAGAGGCGGCGGCAGCGCCCGGCATTTACGTGCTTCTTGCAATCATCACAATGCAGTACTAAAAGAGCATTGCCATTTGTTGTCTAGATGTTCTAGAAGGTACTTAACCATCCCCTGCTGATGGACAATTGGGGCTGTGACCAATTTCTAGGTTCTGTAGGCAGCACCTTTCCATACATTTTATGCGAATGCATGTCCACAGGCGTGATTCCAGAATGTGGACTATCCGAGCCAACCAGGGGTGCCTGAGGGAGGCGTTTGGTGGCTGGGGGCCAGGTGCCCTCTCTGGAGACTGGGCTCACCTCTCCCTACCAAAGTATGAATACCTCGTCCCTCTCCATCTGTGGGTCTGAAGGCCGACAAATGGCATCTCAGTTTTATTTTTAATTTCCCTTGTAATCATGTGTCTACTTTACAAAAAGCCACATAAGACATCATTTCCAGAGTAACGGGTAGGTGGCTCCACAGAGCCGGCTTCCTGTCCTCACCCAGCTACCTGGAATGGAGTGGGTGGGGCCGCAGGAGGGGGGGACGGGGGGGGGGCTCAGTCATTTGCCTTCTGCCCTGCTAGTGACGAGGCATGTCCACATCCTGATGTGTAACCCAGACTAACCTTGAACTCCCAGTCCTGTCTAAGCATCCTGAGTGTTGGGTGGACCTCCACATCTGGCTAGATACTCCCAATTGTAAATCAGAAAGACTAGTACCCTCATTGTACAAAGAATGTGGGGAGAAGCTGAGCAGTGAGCACCTACTATGAGCCAGGTGCCATAACAGGTCTGGTTCTTGTTTTCTCTCTAATCCCTAAACCGTGATTACCATGGGCGCTTGCCGATTGTCCTCTCAAGTGACCAGGAGCTCCGTGGGCATCGAGGCTGGGCAGCCATACCCAGACCTCACCCAGGTGCTGTCCCTAAAGGCCAGCCGACAGCAGGATGGGGTAAGGCCCTCACAGAGCCGTGCCGTCCATTCCTCAGATGTGGACTCAGGGCCATGATGTGGCAACGAGGGCACTTGAGGCCACATCTGTCCCTTATGGGGGGGGGGAGGGAGGGGGAGGGGCAAGGCCTCCAGTCTACCCAGCTCTGCCCCCAGGCCTGCACCACACCTTGGCGAGGGCCTCAGGTCTGCAGAGTGGGAAGGGGAGGGGGGTAAACACCAGCAGTGACCACACCTGCGGCCCTGGGGCCCTTGGAGTCCACTCTCAGGGAGCTGAAGGGTGGCAGGGTCAGCGCCACCCGTGTGCAGACCGGAGAGGGATGTCCAGATGAGGAGAGCCCCCCCTCCCTCACGCTGAGTCTTCTTTCCGCAGTTGGCCCTGGCGGGTGTCCTCCCTCCCCCCCCCTCGCCACGCCAGCGCAGGGAGTGAAATGACCACCCTTCTGGGGAGGAGCCATGGTGTATCCTTGCAGAGAACAACAGCTAGGAAATAAGAAGGGGGAGAAAACAGAAGGTTTGGGGAGGCTGGGGCGGCCCTGGGGAGCTGCTGCGGCCTCTGCTGGGCTGGGGACAGTTACTGAGCCAGGGCTGCGCCAGCGCTCCTCAGCCAGCAGCAAAGTGTGTGCATCCCCTGACTAAGAACCCGACGTGGTCCCTGGGCTCCCGCTGGAGACCCGCAGCGTGATCGCAGCCAGGCGATCGCAGCCCTAGGGTGGAGGGGAAGGCCTCTCCCAAGCCACCTGCTGGTGGCGGGGCGCTCTGCGCCTGAGGCAGAGCAGTCTGGAAACTTTGTTCCATCCAGCTCTGCCAGGAAGCTAAACTTAGCCATGCGGGTGCGGCCAGGGGTGGGCGCTCGAGTATAGATAGCAACAAGTGGGCTATTTTCAAGTATCTAGAGAACCCTCTAGAACATTCTGGAACAAAATTCTATTTATAGAACCCTAGGCTTAGAAATGGAGCTGTGGCTCCAAGTGGTAGAGTGCTAGCCTTGAGAAAAAGAGTTCAGGGATAGAGCTCAGGCCCTGAGTTCAAGCCTCACAACTGACAGATGGAGGAGGAGGGGGGAGGAGGGAGGAAGAGGAGAGGAGGAGGGGGAGGGAGGAGGGGGAGGGAGGAGGGGGAGCACCCTAGGCTTCTAGAAACAAAGTCCATCACCGCAGTGCCTCTGGCTCTCAGCGGGCAGCAGGGAGGGGTGGCCGGTGTGCACTCGGTTTCCCCACGAGTCATGGGGAGGTCTCAGGGCCGCATGCAGCGTCTCCTGGTGCCCGGGAGAGTGGTCAGGACTTCCCTTGGGGAAGCCACAGCCCCGGCCTTTCATCTTGTCCAGAATCCCACTCCGCTCCGTGGCCTCCGCCTCCACCAGCTACAACTAGCTGGTGATGGAAACACCTGCTCCCAACTCCTTTGGGCCCCAGGGCCCGCATCCCCTCTTGGCCCCAGCTCCCACCGCAGGGAGGGGTTCTGACGTGTGCCACTCGGCTGCTTGCTCAGGAGGCTTTTCTAGGGAGTAAGGTGGAGCTGAGTTGAATCTCGGTAGGAAAGGGGGGCAGGTGGGGTCCCCAAATAGCAGCCCCCAGAGAAAGCCGGTGGGGCCTGTGCATATCGCTTGTCTCCTGCCACACAGGTGTGCACACAGGACTCCAGAACCCAGATTTGAAACCACCGTCCAGGTTAGCTTGCTGGTGACCAGGTAAACACCGAGGGCGAAGGCGGCGGTGCGGCGTGCCCGGCGGGCTGGACGGGCACAGGTGTTTGGCAGGGACTGGCGGGTTGCAGCCGCCTGGCGTGCTGAGTGAAAAGTGTCCTCCATTCATCTCAAATCTGCTCCCTGGAAGGTGCCTGTGCCTTCTCCACCCCTGCTCCCTGCCAGCCCAGATATAAATATAAGAGCATTTTCCATGGGTGGTACCAAGGGGAAGGCATTCGGCTTTATTTTCGGCTTGTGAAATTCCCTTCCTTCATACCCGACAGGTGCGGCTGCCTCATTTAGATACAGGGGCCCAGAAATAGACCGCGACCCACAATATAGTTTCCTTTAGGCCTCCGGATGCTATTTTAGCAGAGTTCTCCTGGGAGACACCCAGGCCCCCGTTGGGTAGAGCTCTTGACGGTGCTGGGGTCGGGGGCCCCTCTGCCGGGGGCTTGACCTGCTTGGCAGAGGAGAGCAGCCTCTTTGGGACCCAATTTCTGCCTCTGCTCACCTGAAAGGCCTAGTTCTGTCAGGGCGGAGGAGAGGGAGTGAACTCGGGACCAGGGAGGGCAGGGGAGGGGAGGGGAAGGCAGGGGAGGGGAGGGCAGGGGAGCACAGGGCAGGGCAGGGCAGGGGAGGGGAGGGGAGGAGAGGGCCTTCTCACGGGCCTCTTTGGTGCCTCTGGTGAATCAGGCAAGGGGCTGTGCCTGAACTCTGGAGACGTGGGGAGAGACAGGCAGGCGTTTCCCTGGGCTCCAAGACCTAGCGAGGTCATTCTATCAGAGCCTGTGTTCTCCTCGTCTGGGTAGGGGGCTGAATGCAGCCCCCCAAATCCTATGCAGATGCCCTAACTGCCAGGTCCTCCAAAGGGGAGGTGAGTCACTGTGAGGTCACGCTGGAGCGCGCGGGAGGAATCCCACATCAGATGACTGGCATGGGGCTGAGGCCGGGCAAGATGGGGCGAAGATCCAGGCACTGGAAGACCAGGCCGAGGCCTGAGCCTGCACCTCAGCCCTGAGGGCTGCCTCCATGTGGACTTCGGGTCCGGAGCACACTGGGGGGCTGCCCGCCGTGGGCGGCCCAGCTCTGCGAGTGCCCCCTGCCCCTCCCACCCCCTCAAGGGCGCCCGCAGGGAGGGGGCCGTGGCTCCAGGGCGGCTTTCTCAGAGCCTGTCCTTGCCAGTTGGCATGGGTGTGGCTCAGTGCTCACCCACCACCAGTGACTGATTTACGGGAGGTCATGCTGGGGCCGGAGAGCGCAACCTCTGGGGTGTCCCCAGCACCCCCAGGGGCCATGGTCACGTTGGCCACGCAGAGCCCTCCAGAGCCAGGCTGACCCACAGGTGGGGAGCCAGGGCCAGGCCTTCCCTGCCAAGCGTGGCCGGGAGCAGTTGAGGTGCTGGACGAGTCCCAGCCAGCTTTCTTGTGCCCACTCCTTCAGCGCAGAGGGCTGGCAGGCCACAGAGGCTGGAGGGTGAAAAAGAAAGCCTCTGCCTACTCGGCTCCAGGGCCCAGGCCCGGGCTGCTAACTCCCATCACGCTGGCTAGGAAGGGGCAGGAAGAAATGGAAGGAAGCTGCTGGTGGCCGCCGGCATCTCCAGAGCAGCACAGGTGCCTCCGAAAAACTCTGCTTATGCACAGCCCTGCCAGCCAGGGCGCCAGGGACTGTGTCTGTCTTGCACAAGATGGCTCTCCTGGTTTTTTTTTGTTGTTGTTTTTTACTGATCCTGGGGCTTGAACTCTGGCCCTGGGTGCCATTCCTGAGCTCCTTTTGCCCAAGGCGAGTGCATCACCATTTGAGCCACAGCGCCACTTCCGGCTTTTTTGAATAGTTTATTGGAGATAAGAGTCTCATGGACTTTCCTGCCCAGGCTGGCTTTGAACTGTGGTCCTCAGATCTGTCTCCTGAGTGGCTGGGATTGCAGGCGTGAGCGGTTAGCACCTAGCAGGCCTCCTTGTCCTGTCCCCAGTCACCTCACAGAGTGAGCTGGAGCTGGTCAGACCCCCTGGGAGAACCAGCATCCTGGCCGCTCATCCCCGGGGGGGGGCCTCCCCCCACTCCCCAGCTCTGGCTACCAGTGCTTCTCCCGCAGGCAGTCTTCGCCCGGGACCCCCTCCCTCCCTCTCCTCCAGGCTGGTTTGTGGGACACCCGTCTCACGTCTCCTTTCTTCCAGAGAAGGCCCTGAGCTCAGTGGCTCACAGAATCCCTGCCTCACGCATGTCCCGCCTGCTCTGTGTCCAGGAGGGCTCAAATCCCAGCCCTCGAGTTCACCCAGGAGACAGGGCAATGCTCAAGAACACAGCAGACATGCGTGAGGGGCTGGCTGTTTATTACCCCACAGCTGCTTGCCCCGAAAGAGAAGTCAGCAGGCCACCGAAGGCCAGCTCCGGGTTCTCTGTAGGGCCAGTTCTGGAGGCTTTGTCTCAAACCACCACCTACTCTTCTCCTGGCTCTGCTCCATCTCAGGGGGAGTCTGAGAAAGTGAGAAGGTGTGTGTGTGTGTGTGTGTGTGTGTGTGTGTGTGTGTGTGTGTGTGCACCACGCGCGTGGCAGGAGACAGCTTGATCCAGACCCCAAGCCAAAGGCTGGCGGAGAGGTGGCTGAGCCTTCCAGGCGGACACAGCTGTGGCTTGCTTGCTTCCAGTTGCATGTAGAAAGATCTGGCTGCCTGCTCGTCAGCGTGGCACAGAATTTGCCCATCTCCTTGGGGGACCGGGAAATGGGGCCGTGGTTCTCAGTTCAGTGAAGGCTCCTGGCGAGGAGTCTCCCGGTGGGGCTTCCTGGTTTGGCTGGGCCCAGGGTAGCAGGCGAGGAGCCACTGAATGCCCAGGGAACGGCCTCCGGAGGCAGGCCCTCACCCCCATGCCTCTCAGGGGCCGGGGCGACAGCTAGCCTCTTCATGCCGGGCCAGGAGGGACATGCGGGAGAAGGTCTTGGAGCAACCCTTGCACTGGTATTTCTTGGTGCCCGAGTGGGTCTGCAGGTGAGCTCGCAGGTTGGAGCGGTCAGCAAAGGCCCTGCTGCAGTGCAGGCAGGCGTAGGGCTTCTCACCTGGGGCGGGG